AATATGCTTAGAAAATTTCAACTCATTTATTAACTTGACCTTCCAAATGCTTAACAAATTTCAACTCATTAGCAGATCAATGTTTTACTATCACAAAATCTTTAATGTAGAGGCTTATATTACTGTCAGGCTGTCTACCGTAACTCCCATACTTGTGTTAGCACTTACTGCGTCACTTCCGTGACGTCACTATAGCATGCCTATATAAGCTCCCCGAGTACAATCTGGCGCCCGAACAGGGACAATCCTGAAAACCACGGCCGCGGAGGATTCCAGATTGTCAGGATGTGATTTGGTCTGACTGGCCCGATAATATATAACTATCTCAAAGTTCAGTATTGATTAATAACCGGATGATCTTCTTAGGTTTATTTGAGTTGAGGGTCCAAGGGTTCGTATCTAAGGTCCGAATAAGCGGCACGTTGATTGAGAGGCTAGTTGTCTAATAATATATTTACGAACTAGATAGGAATACAAGGAAGCTTGGTGGTTATTACACAAGGTAGGTTTTAGATGGTTACTCTAACGACAGAGGCTACTCGACGCCGGAGTCTGGCCGTGATCGTGCGGACTACATGGTGATGGCTTTACTACGTCTCGCCTGTGGCTGCCTAAGACTGACTGAAGGTCTGCTCGGGGAGCTTATACGTATAGGCATGCTATAGTGACGTCACGGAAGTGACGCAGTAAGTGATAACACAAGTATGGGAGTTACGGTAGACAGCCTGACAATTACATATGCATTAATTAATGTTGCTAAATAATCGTACAACGTCACATACTACGATTAAAAACTTAGTTAGGTTTTCTTCAAAAACTGAGATTATTAACGACGCTGATTTTCATGTCCAATTGAAGGTAATGAGATACAGCCTACAGGGAATCAGATTTGCATTAAACCTCAGGTGGCTGCAATAACAAACATGTCAGTTAAAACAGCCGGTGCTCTGAGCTCAACGGAATAACCATCAATTTACAGCGTTCCTGTTCAATACAGGATAGGTTTGAAAAAATTAGGTTGACACGCAACAGAAAAACGTTTCTTTTCTACCGTTGTTATTCATCATAACATTCAATTGATGTGCAGCGAAAAACGTTCCATTGAGTGCAGCGAAAACGTTCATAAAAATTGTTTGTTGCCGCGCATCAAAACGTTACATCGAACCGCAGCAAGCAACCCACCATTGAGACGCAGCAAAAAAAACTATCCATTGGTACGCAGTAAAAAATATTAATTGATGCACATCAAATGAAACTTCAAATATCGACCTCTCTGGCAGTCTAACATAGTGGTTCCCAAAGTGGGCGATACCGCCCCCCTGGGGGCGGTGTAAAGATCTGGAGGAGGGCGGCGGTGAGGAAGAAGGGGGTTGGTAGGGGACGGCAGTCCGAAGTCAAAGGGAAGGAATATCTCCAAAATTAATGAACGTAACACGATGGAACTTTGTACACGTATTCAGTAGGACCTACCGGTGATGTTTAGTTTGTGAAAATTTTTGGAATTTCGCCTTCTTTCGTGAGTTATATGGCGATACGGGCCGAAATTCACAGCGATCAAGTAATTTCTTCCAATCTATTAACATAACATAGTGATCGCGGCGCTGAAGTGTAGGCCTGATGTGGCCTGTCGCCGATTCTTTTCCTTTTCGTGCCTTGTTCACAAAAGATCTAAAATCGTGTCATTTGACCGGATCTTTTCATGACTGACGATAGTTTTAAATAGCAACTCGACTTCCACCGGGTTCGATATGGTGCTAGGCATTTCAAATCTGAACATATATTTTTCCATAGCTTTATCTAGTCTGTTCTTGAACGCGTTCATACTTGAAGCGCCAACGATGTCATCGGGAAGGCTGTTCCACATGTCGGTGATTCGAAGCGAGAAGAAATGTTTGCGCGTGGGGAAGTTGCAGCGCAGTTTTTTAGTTTATAGCCGTGGACCCTGGTGTTGGTTCTTGTTTCAAATTCTAGTAATCCTTCGGGGACCTTGTATAGACCATGAGTATACTTGTATACTTCAATGAGGTCCCCACGCAGACAATGGGATCATATTCAATGAGGAACAGATTTGAACGATATTTCGATTATACATTACTAACTATCTGTTTAGCTCGTAAAATTTTTTCGATTTCGCCTTTGCTCACGAGTTTTTTTTTTATTTCACCTTCATTCGTGATTTAAACAGCAGTACGTGCTTTAATTCGCAGTGATCAAGAGATTTCTTTTAAACTGCTGAACAGATTTGAACGAAACTTAGTATATACAGTGGCGGAAATGGCAATACGACCACCCAGTTTTTTCTAACTACTTTTTTCTTGCATAGAAAAATACTGGATTCAAATCATACAATATTGCCTATTAAAACGAATGTATGGGATCCACAAACGATCCACATGTCGGTGATTCGAAGCGAGAATAAATTTTATCGCGTGGAGAAGTTGCAGCGCAGTTTTTTTCTGCAGTCTTGTCCCTTTTGGCATCTTTTCTACTTCGAAAATATATAAATTAGGACACCGAACTACACCAGAAGTACCCTAAAGGGCGAAAATCAGGATATTCAATTTTGCTGTACTTTTTAACGTGAAAATATTACAAAAAAAGATAATAAATTGATGTAAAGCCCATTTTGATATTATAACCATTTCCACCTAGGTTTTTCTAAATTTTCTGCATTTCTTCGCATATATTTTGAGAAAATGATTTTTTCCGTATAGCGTTGGAACCGTTTTTAAACTTAGTTTAGCCTTGTATAATTAGAATCCGGTATTTTTCTATGCAAGAAAAAATATTAAAAAAAACGGGTGGTCATATAGCCATCTCCGCCACTGTATATACCTATCCTCAGCAATGGCAATGTTAAGCTCGTGACATTTTTTCAATTTTGCCTTCGATTGCGAGTTACACGGCTCATGGTTAAACCGGTCGGTCGTTTCTCCTTACATCCGTATAACTCGGGAACGAAGGCAAAATAGAAAATAAATTGTCATGAGCTCAACATCAACGTTGGGAGATTAAGTTTTTATATACAAAGTTTCGTTCAAATCAGTAGTTTAGAAGTAATTTCTTGATCACCGCGAATTTAAACGACAGATTACCCGGCGATACGGGCCGAATAAAGAAGTGTGAAATCACGAATTACAGCGAAATGAAAAAAAAAAAAACTCGCAAACGAAGGCTTATTCGAAAAAAATTTTAAAAGCTGAAAATCTCAGTTTGGTAGTTAGGAATGTATATTCAAAATTTCGTTCGAATCTGGTCAGGTAGTTCGGAAGAAATTCTTTGATCACTGCGAATTTCGGCCCGTATCACCATATAACTCCCGAATGAAGGTGAAATTTAAAAAAATTTCATGAGCTGAACATAAATTCATAATAATACGGTGGATAGTCACCGTATTATTATGAATCACCCTTAGGTCCTAATGAATACATTTTCCAAGTTTCATCGAGCTGCGTTCATTAGTTTGGGAGATATTTTATGATAATTGAATCTGGAGATTGGGCGCGAGACCGGCCGACGGGACATTTGTCCGAGACGTCCTTTGCTTCCAGTGCTGTAACAGTTAAAACTGCTAAAAAATATATTGGTTTACTATATGGGGTTCTATTTGTGAAATACACATTCGTCTTCAACCCCTTTCTCTTTTAAAATTGCAACGAACTACATATCAAGAAAGTTTGGGAACCACTGGTCTAACAGGTTAGGCCATCTTGTTTAGTCTTCGTCATATTCTTACCCTACGCCATCCTCGACGCGATGATGTCGCCATGAGGCACTACAGGATTTTTTCATAAATTCCAATTGACTGTCTCGCAATTGATACCTACAATAATTACGACGAAGTTATGAACATCGAGTACTGAAGTAAAATTGATATCGCTACTTTACCCAGTATGTCCAGGTTCAGGGAAAGACAAGGCATCGAAACTATAATGGTTTATTACAGTATCAGAATAACACGTCTACTGCAAATTGAAGCGACAACAATCAAATGAAATAATAATCATAAAGCAAACATTAGAATAAAATCTGTTTTATATGTTTATACAGTCTAATATAGTCTAACTTTGCAAAGTAAATCACAAATGAAGAAGATTATACCTCAAGTTCGGGTAGGACTGGAGAACGTCTAACAGTGAAGTCCATAACAATTCCACTATAGCGTACCATTATAACTTTCTAGAGGGTGCAAACAAAGAGGTATATTATTTATTCGGCACAATAATGATTAACACTGATAGCCAAGAATTGCGTAAAAATGCCTTCAAAAAACCCGATGTGCTAATTTGACAAAACCCAAAAATTTGGCAGAATGCGCCTAAAATAATAATTTCCCCAGCATTCCCAAACTCAGGCCGTTCACAGTCCGCGACCACACTAGTAATCATTCTAACATCTCAATGGGAAAGTTAAGCAACAAATAACATTAACATTAAACTGTTGAGTGATCATGCATCACTGATAGGGTCAATTGACTTGTCTTTGGTGTTCTCAATTGAACTGTCAGTTCAATGCGCCATTAACATGTTGTCTGTGAATAATAATGAGCGTTTTTCACGTCGTGCCGAACTGCCGATACAGAATTGCTAAGATGGCAGTGGACGACCATGGCAGTGGACGACCATGGCAGTGGACGACCATGGCAGTGAACGACCATGGCACGACGACCATGGCAGTGAACACGTCACCCTATAACGCCGGGATGACACGCGGGGAATTCTAAAGTTTCACGAGTCCATCTGATGAGTTAACAAGTGCAGCTCTAGTGCGTGCGGTTGCCGTGTATTGTGACCAATCTGGAACAAGCTCCAGGACAATTTGTTGAATATAATTTCGTTTCATACTAAATTCGAATCAAAGAAAATTTCCCGACATTCTGTACACAAAACAGGAAAAAGATTACATGATTAACAGCAGCAGCAAATAAAATAAAACTTAGCAAGATAGAGTGCGGCTGACAAAAATAAGAGAAGGAACTCGCTCAGCAGGTGGCAGCTTGCCACACAAGTGAGTTAAGGTTAAATCTAAAACTGAATCAGAATAATAATTAAAAATCAGGTAAAAACAGGCACCAAAATTATTATTTCGGTTGAAAATTCTAAAAGAAGTGTAGTATTCATTCGTGGGATAAATGCCAAAAATATTTCTTCACAATTAAGCTCGTGTGAACTTCAAGAAACTGAAAAATTAGTGGAACCTTCAAATTAATTTAATTTAATAACAAAATGCAATTTGTTTGAAACGAAAAACTCATGGCAAATTCTCCAAGTTTACTGCAGTGGGAAGACCTGAGTCATGACGTAATGATACACATCGATATCAATAGGCAAGAACAAACAGAAAATAATTCTATCGAAATCAGAGGGTTTGGATTCAAGTATTTTTCGTACCAGGGGAACGACAACCTCAGCGGCTTTGTCGTTTGGGAAGCCATAGACTCCCGTGGCTACGCAGGGGAAAGCAATGGATCTCAGCTTATGTTCGCGTGCCAGATTGAGGCAGCTCCGATAGGCATTTTCCAGGTCCATCCGGTCTCCGTTTATGGGGCCAACAGTGTGAATAACCCGTGTAGCAGGTAGCTTATATCCATAAGTGATTTTAGCGTCCCCTGTAGGACATCCATGTAGGGTCCTACATTCCTTCAGGAGGCTTGGTCCAGCAGCTCTATGGATTGCTCCGTCCACCCCTCCCCCGCCGAGCAGGGATGAGTTAGCTGCATTCACAATGCAGTCAATCTCAAGGGCCGTGATGTCTCCAATGAACAAAGAAACTTTCGTGTTCAGACTTGAGTTCACAGCAAACTTCATAGGAAGTTTAGGAATATGTTTGTATTTCTTCACTGACTTTTCCACAGCAATTGAATTTTGAACAGCATATTCTGACCATGAAGGAATGTCCTCCAAGGTAACAGAAGATCTGCACGAGTATAGTTCTCGCTTCTTAACTCGGGGAAGCGAAGTTATTTTCTTCCAATCTTCTTCAAAAGAAGTTGCATGTGATTCATCTCGGGCAAGAGGTTCACTTGCATACTTCTTCAGAGGAGGAGTTCGGTCAGAAATTGATAATTTGTCTGCCGGCGTTTTCTTATTTTCAGGCTGAGTCTGCATTTTGCTTCCACCTGCAGCTAAAGAATCTGATAAAGCTCGTTCAATGACAGGAGCTTCAGTAGAATCTTCTTCCACTGCTTGACGAGCGTCTGGAGCAGCATCATTTACTAAGTTAGCAGGAAGGTCGAGTGACTTGTTAGCGTCTTGGGCTGCTGCAGATTTATGAGATGAATCAGTTTTTCCTTCTGTTGCAGTTGGTTTATCAGACTTCTGAGCAATTTTTGCATCTTGGGCTGCTGTAGATTCATGAGAATTTGAATCACTATTTTCTATTGTTGCAATTGGTTTATCGGACTTCTGAACAATTTTTGCGTCTTGGACTGCTGCAGATTCATGAGAAGTTGAATCATTTTTTTCTTCTGTTGCAGTTGGTTTATCAGACTTCTGACGAATTTTTGCAGGAACTTTTGACTCTTGAGGAGACTCTCCAGCAGCATTCTTATTGCTACATTTGGTGGAAGCTCCTCCAGGTGATTCAGCTTTCCCTTTATTCTTCTTCTTTCCTGCCATGTCCAATGAAGATAATCCCCTTCTAATCAAACTGGTTTCTTTAAAGAGCAAAATATAAGAATGGCTCAAAGAAAACCTATTTACTTGCAACTCAGCTGGCTTGAACAGCAAAGTGAAACAAGATTTTCGATCTTGTTTAAATTTAGTCCTAGCAACTTCAGTGGCTTTTGAATGCAAAATAGATGTGAATTTCCTCACTGCTAAAGGATGGCAAGTACCACAACATAGAGGTTGAAAATGGCCAAATAATGTTCTTAATTTATGAAATAGTTCTGATGCAGTGCTAAAGCTAGTTTGCATTGATAGTTTGACCTGGAAAAAAAAACGCAATTAATATAACAGATTAACATCAATGTTATGCAATGGTCACAGGAAAATAATATACGTTTAAAAATTACTTTTTAAAGACAACACTTCCAAAGAATCCAGTATCTCCAATCTTACAGATGTACAATGAATTTCTCATCTAATTTTCGAAAATTGAAAAAATTTATTTTTCAATTTTTTAATATATATAAATTTTTCAATATATACATTTTTAATACATAAATTTTTTCAGAATTATTTATTCTGTTAATTGATTCATGCATTGCCTCTGACTTCACACAAGTGTGCAAAATTTCAGCTCAATTAGACAGGTAAAAGTGTGTCAAATATCAGTTATTAGATTTGTAGCTGATAAAATCATTTTTTCATTTTTTTTAATATTGAAAAAAAAAATTAAATTTTAAAAATCATTTATTTTGACATTTGATACATGCATTGTCTCCAACCTTAAACAAGTGTGCAAAATTTCAGATCGACAGGATAAGTAGAAGTGTATTAAACTTTGATTATAAGATTTGTGGCAGACAGACAGACAAGAAGTGAAGTTGAAGAGAAGTGTTGTAATAAAAAAAATTTTTAATTTATCAAATTATTTAATTTGTCAATTGATTCATGCATTGTCTCCAACTTTACGCAAGTGTGCCAAATTTCAGATCGATTGGACAAGTAGAAATGCGTTAAATATCGATCATTAGATTTGTAGCAGACAGACAGACAAACAGACAAGAAGTGAAGTTAAAGAGAAGTGTTGTAATAAAAAGCTTCAAAAAATGAACGATATTAAGATTGAAATATCTTTTACTTTTCTGTAAGCAAAGCTCATTGGGGAAATTCCTTCAATAAGCAAGGTCCATGCATTTCACCATTTTAAACCCTGTAGCTAAACTCAAACAAATAAATGCCATATGAGAACTGTTTGAAGGGCAAGTCATACTGTTAACTGTCATACTAATAACTAGGAAGATTTTCAAATTTATTATGAATAATTTTAGAATTATGACCTCAGTGCCGAAGATAGCATAATATCAGTGAAAAATACATCTAGTCTTGCACTTCTCAGCTCCTGTAGACATATGTGTGATGTGTATATATACAGCTAAAGACAACTTCCCCGTTTGGAAAACAAACCAGAAAACAAAAAAAAAATAAATAAATAAAAATAAAGCTTCTGAGCATCAGTGAATAAAGACATATAAATGTAAGGTTGTATAATTTCTTATTAAAGATGGTAAACATTGGTAATAGAAAAATGTTTTGTTAACAAATTTTATAATCCAATGTGGAATATAGAGCATCATCTGGCCATGTAATTTTTGCACAAGTCAGCCAGAGCCCATCCTACTGTTACATCTACAAGGAACAAATCTGTCAGTTGAGTTTGTATCTTCAGTATATTCTTCTAAAATAGCCCAAAGTTTTGGCATTGGGCTATTTGACATACTTCAGAATTCAAACAGAATAATATAGATTTTAGTTGCAAATTGTAAATAAAGAGTGGCACAGTATTTGTGTTGTGGTAACCTGATAACTAAATATGGTTGGCCAGAATTTTGTTCTATTCTAGGGTACGGTATTGAGCATGATCAAGCATAAAGATGTTATTATTTCACTAATGAGCAAATATAGCATGGAAATTTAGAAACTGCTCATTACATTAATGGCAACTATAATAGGTCTCAAATCAATTCCAAGTCAAGATATTACTAGTGAAGGGAGGACTTTCTCTACACAATAACATATGGCAATTTAAACATCATAACCTCTACTACGTCTGCTCCAAAAAGCACAATCTTAGGTGTAGAGTAGAGAGGTAAATAAATTTTAGCATAGTGACAAGCCAGAGATTTTTCAGAATCAGTCCTTTTTCAATTTCATCATCTACTCAAGATTTAAAGCAATTTCTTATGTACAATCATTTTAGTATCCATGATACTTTACTGGTCTACTGTCAAATGGGGTGATAAGGGATGGGTGGGGTAAATCGGGACAGTCGTCCCACATTTTGCATAAATGTTGTAGCAGCCAAACTTATCATAATATTGCTTAACTAAACAGTGGCATAAAGTTCAACATTTTTACTATCTACGTAGCATAAAGCAAGTTAAGAAATCATACAGATACTACCTCTGAAAACCACTGAAAAAAAGTGAGAAAAGTGAGATTTTGGAAACTTACCTCTGCTAAGGTCAGGAGCAAAAAAATAATTGATGCATCAAAGAATTTTACTTACATAAAAGTTGCACACAGGTGTTAGCTTACAAACATGATTGATGGAATTTGCATTTCTCATTCCAAAAAAAAAAAAAAAATTGCCACCATTTCTGAAAGATGGGGTAAAAAGTAACACCCCTCCAGGGTAACAAGGTACACCCCTAAAAATGAATTTACAGTAGAATCCAGGGTGTGTACCAGTATTTAGAAAAAAATTTCATGACTTTTCCATGACCTGGTTCTAGTAATCTTTGAATGTTCACTGAAAAGAGCATAGTTGGCGCAGCAGAACCAAACTTTGCCAGAACATGTACTGTCAAATGGGGGTAAAAAGGAACAGGCGGGGTAAATTGGGATGTGCATCCCACATTTCGTAGAAATGTTGTAGCAGCTAAACTAATCAAAATATTGCAAAACTAAAAATAGTGGCATAAACTTCAACATTTTTACTATTACGTATAAAGCTAGTCAAGAAATAAAACATTTACTATCTCTAAAAAATTGCTGAAAAAAGTGTGAAGAGTGCCATTTTTGAAAAGTACTTCTACTAAGGTCAGGAGCAAAAAAAAATATTTGCCATATTAAAAAATGTTACTTACATAAAAGTTGCATATGTTGCATACAGGTGTCAGCTTGAAAATGTAATTGACAGAATTTGCTTCTCATTAAAAAAAATGGCAGCCATTTCCATGTGACGGGGTAAAAAGGGACACCTCCCGGGGTAATTAGGGACACCTCCTTGGGTAATTAGGGACAACCCCTGGCCCTGGGGTAATTAGGGACAACCCCTAAAACACATTTACAGCAGATCCTCTGGTAGCAAAGGCCACAGTTGAGATAAATACCATCAAATAGGGTAAAAAAGGATGGTTTTGAGCATTTTTTGTTAATAACTTCTCACCATGAATCATTTCATAAACAAGTTTGGGCTCATTTTAAAGCTCTTTGCAAGGGCTATTGTATGGCATCTCCAAGAAATTCCATACGGTATGCTATTTGTAAGGTGCTAGAAACAATATAATAGGCTCCTGAATTAATCTGGAAATTGGGTAAAAAGGGACACTTGAAATAAAACTCAATTTTAAACATTTGAAGCATGCAGAGTATACTCATCTATTACCGTCAACCGGGGCTACTCGGGATGATTTTGAAAGTTTTTCATTCATAACTTCTTACCATAAAACATTTCATAAACAAGTTTAGCCTCATTTCAAAGCCCTTTGCAAGGGCTATCACATGGCTTCTCCAAAAAATTTCCATATGCTATTCGTAAGGTGCCAGAAGCAAAAAAAGAGTGTCTCGAGTAGCCCCGTTGAACAGGGCTACTCGGGACACTTGGAATAAAACTTAATTTTAAAACATTTGAAGCATGCAGAGTGTACTCATCCATTACTAACAGTACTCTAAAGTCCTCCTCTTTCATTGTAGATGATTCAGAGGTAGAATAAATGACATTTTCTGTGATTTTTACATCTTTTTCCTTTATTGATATGATATTACCATATACATTAATTACCGTATTATTGATGCGATTTTACCGTATCCATGAATATGCCATTGAGCATATACAACAACCTTGTCCACTGCAAGCTTCATATCAGCAGCCTTATAGCAATTTTTCTGTATCTGTAAGCTTACAGGACAACTTGTAATTTCACACCATTTCAATTGGGTTGAGTGAATTTACTATGAAAAAATATGGTGAAAAACATACCTGAAACAGAAAGGAATGTTTTAGTGACAACCATCATATGTTTTGGAGAAATAAATCAGGTCAATTACTTTTCATTCTATGATGCCTGGTGCACAATTCTATAGGTATATGAAATTTTTATGCTGAGGGAGGTAAATGTAATCAATATTCTTTGTTTTTAATCAATTTTTTTCTCAACTGGAGCCCTTGCTAACTGAGGTTCTACTGTAAATGCGTTTTTGGGGTGTCCCAAATAGCCCCAGGGGGGTGTCCCGAGTAGCACCACCGTGCGGAAATGGCCACAATTTTTTTTGGATTGAGGTATGTAAATTCTGCAAATAAAGTTTTCATGCTGACACTTGTCTGCCACTTTTTTCTAAGCAAAATTTTATAATACGGTAAATATTTTTTTTACTACAGACCTTAG